AAAAAAAAAAAAAAAAATTTTTTTAAATTGCAGAGTAGAAGGTCCCTTTTATAGATATTTTTTTGTAATTTTTTTTTAAGTATTTAAATTTATAAAAAAAAAAGACAAAGTAAGATATATTGTTTTCTTACTAATGTATAGTGGTTCGGATGTACGAGTACCATCAACGAACAACAACAGGCTTATAAGGTATCAAAATTTTGTGTCGTGGTAATGCACGCATTAACGGCTAATGGTTTAGAGTGGTTCCTAAAATACACTTGCATCAAATTAGAAACTTTCTTACTACCAAACTTAACTACCACAAAAAAAAAACAAAACACTCTAATTATATACTTTTTGTATACTACAAATAAACATGATCTATACACACATTTGTTATGATTCAAAGGGCTACTTTGATTTCTAACAAATTGTTTACAACTAATAACTAGTAACTTTATACGTAAAATATAATAACACGAGAAAGTGTATAATCTTATTAATTTTATTTGTACACAAAAGTAAAACGACTAACACCCTGTGAATCATTAACATAAATTGCATGACTTATTTAACATGTAAAATTTTTTATATTTGTACAGCTATTTATAACGAGATCTAATTGCAACACTTTTGTAGAACTCTTCTATTTATAATCTTTCGTATATTATTATTAAATATAAAAATTATTGAATGAATTTCATTTGATATTAGGTCAGAGCAAGTTCGCAATCATCAGGCAGCTATGATTAATAAAAAATATGATTTATCAAAATGGAAGTACTCTGAATTACGTGATGCTATTAATACTTCATGCGATATTGAATTATTAGAGGTATGTATTACTTATCTTAATATTTTTTCTTTTCTTCTTTACAAAACGTCAAAAAAATTTAACATTATTATAAAAGCTTAGGAAAAGCTTTTTAAATAGCTTAAAAGAGCTATATTTATAAAAAGCTTATACTCTTAGTCTATCTATAAAATAATCTTAAAGATTAAAAAAAAACTTTTCTTGATCTCTTACTTCAACTTTTCATTGTAATCTATTGTTATCATCGATATTAATAGCAATTAAAAAAAAAATACAATTAGATCAATTGTCTTTATCAGAGATTCTCAATAATGCTACACATAATTCCGTGATAAACATTTGTATTTTTTCATTAAAAGAGCAAATATAAATTAAATACAAAATTTCTTATATACACTGGGCTGAAAAGTTTTGAACATAACATGCAAATAATTGTTGTTTTTTTTTTTTTTGGTCAAATTCACTTTTATTTCTTTTTTTTTTTTTGACATATTTATTTCTCATTTTATTCTTATTTTTATACTATAATTTTAGTTTTTTTTATATAATATATTCATCCAAATAGTACGCTTGTTACATACATATTTCCAAGAAACACGTAATTTAGACAAATTTGAGAATCACTGATCTAAATTATTTATCATTAAATTAATTATTTATTTATATTTATATTATTATTGAATTAATAATAAATAATTGTTTATCATTAAATATAAAAAAACAAAGTTATCTGTATATATAGGCTTGTCGTCATGAGTTTCATCGTAGACTGAAGGTTTATCATGCTTGGAAAGCAAGAAATCGTAGAAAAACTACTATGGATGAAAATGAAAGAGCCCCAAAATCCATCATGGAAGCTGGTAAACTAATTGTTCTATTGTTATAATTTAATTAAATATTATTTATTAAATAATTAACAAAAACATTATGAATAATGAATTAAACAATCGTACATTGTAATCAATTTTGTATACAAATGAATCTAAAAGAATGCAATTCTTACACTGAAATTGATGATTACATTGCTCGATATATTAATAGAAAAAAAAAAAAGAAATTAATCAATTAAAGTTATAAGTTAAACAATTTTAGCTGCTAAAACTCCACGAACTCCTATGAAGCAAGCTATAGTGGATTCTTCGCAAAGATACTTTCGAATTCCATTCGTTCGTCCTGTTGCTTCTAATCAACAGGATAATTCTCATTCCGGTGGTAAGAGGGGTTGGTGGTATGCTCACTTTGATGGTCAATATGTTGCAAGACAAATGGAACTTCATCCGGATAAACCACCTATACTACTTCTGGCTGGTAAAATTTCGATAATTTCATTAAAAATTAATAATAATTAATTTCAATCAAACAATATTCTACGATCAATGCAAATTCAAAATTAATTTTTTTTATTTTTTTTTATTTTTTTTTATATACAATCGTCTATAAACTATTTTCAATTATTTAATATTAAAAATCATGAAACGTTTTGAACATTAATTTAAGATTTTTCAGAATGAAAAAAAAATTCAATAGAATTCAAGGTCTCTTCTAGGAAATTAAACAAGTAACAATAATAATAATAAAAAAGAATTAATTTAATTTGTAGGTGTCGACGATATGCAAATGTGTGAGTTAAGCCTCGAGGAGACTGGTTTGACGCGCAAACGAGGTGCAGAAATTTTAGAACACGAATTTAATCGTGAATGGGAACGCCATGGTGGTAAGCCTTACATTTTAGCATGCGATCGGAAAAAATGAACCGAAGATTGTTATTAAAATAATGCCGTAAGCATGTCTCACGTTCTTCGAGATATTTTATTAATATGCTTTATATTAAAAAGAAAAGAAAAAGACAATTTCATATTACAATATTGTAATATAGCATTGAAAATCATGCCTGAAATATAATGTAATTAATTAGATGATTAATTATTAATTACCATTAAACATAAAAAGAAGGAAGAACAATGTGTGTTCGATATAAATAATAACATATTAAAAATAATCAGCGTTCGATTAAAAAAAAAAACAAAAAAAAAACGATAAAATCAGATTATTTATTTTTCTTATTTGTTTATTTGTCAAAAAAAGACATTTTGATTGAATTATTTGTGAAAACAATTCCAGTATTTAATAATTAGCATAACACATTATTCAAATGAATAACAACAAAAACAAATTACACTAATCTCTCTCTCGTAGTACTGTTATTATATTACATATAAATATATCATATAGAAAAAGAAAGAGAAAAAGAAAGAGAGAGAGAGAGAGAGAGAGAGAGATAGTATGTATAAATTATCCATTTTTCGAGTTAGTAGAAAAAGTGAGAAAACAAGAGACATTTATGATGTATTAGGTTGTGCTAAATAAAGGAAAAAAAAACAAAAAACAAAAAATACAAATAAAATGTACATTAACACGTTCATTTGAAATGAAAAAATATCTTCTCGTAATAAAAGATTGTTATTGTATTTTTTTTTGTATTAGTCGCTAAGTTTTTTGAGAAAACTTATACAATCTTATCTTAAATAATAATAATAATAATAATAATAATAATAATAATAATAATAATAATATTGAAAGATATGTTCAATAACTTAGAAAAAATTATGAAAAAACTTTTTCAATAATTTATACTTATGCATATGTTATAATACTTTCGAATTATAAAATATTACATTGAATATATTTTTTAATAAAAAAAAAAATAAAAATAAAAAAAAAATAAAACGTATTTCGTTCGAAAATAATAAAAAATAAAATATAAAACTACAGTGGAACTTTGGTTTGCGAGAATAATTTATTCTAAAAATGTGATCGTAATTCAAAGCATTCGGTGTATCACAAACAGCGATTTTTTGTTATAAATAATACATAATAAAAAATCGGATAATTCGATTAAGAATTATTTATTGATATAAAAATGATATATAAAATAGAAAAAATTATGTAATAATAAACAAATTTATCTTCACTTTAAGTACTTGGCAACAACTACTGCTCGTATTGCAAGACATTCCTCGTTAATCACTGTTCGACTGTTGTAAAGCAATCATAAACTAAATTACTTACAATCTAAGGTTTAATTGTTTATATAAATATACATAAATATCATATAAATATTTTAAGACCGATAAGGTGGGATCCAACCACCAAATGATTTTTCCAATTCTTTGGCTACCGCTAAACATAAACGATCTTGATAAGGAGCGGCGATAACCTAATGCGATAAAATATTTATAAATATATTCTTAATAATATATAATAAGTTATGAAAATTAAATAAATAAAGAATGAAAAAAAGCACACATAGAAAAATATTAATTATTACCTGAAAACCAATTGGTAAACCATTTTTATCAAAACCCATGGGAACGTTAGTTGCTGGAAAACCAAAATAATTCCATATAGGACAATATAATCCATTTATCATAATTAACTGTATTAATCTTCCAACAGGTGCTGTTAATGCAAATGTGGGTAGGATAATGACACCATTGTCATTTAACAAATTCTAAAATAAAATAAAATTGCAATTAATATTCTTTGTTTAGTTAAAATATAAAATGTTATTTTTGTTATAATTCGTTAGACAAAAGATATACAGTCATAATAATTAATAATAACAATTTACCGTTAAGTATTGACACTGGATTTTTAATCCTTCGTCCATCGATTCATTACGTTTTACAATTATCGAAAGAAATTTAATAAAAATCGCTCCAAACGTATATTTTGAACAACCTAATATTGATTTTGGTAATTCACATATTAACGATCGTTCATTCTAATTCAAAATTAAAAAGACATATAAATAAATATACATGTATTTTGTTCATTAACATTAAAAGTTAAAAGAAATAAATAAATAAACTTAATACGCATTAATTACCTTGGAATTATTTGGATCCAATAAGATTGGAAATTTCATCGATAGGATTCTGTTCAAGATCGCGTCGCACAAATTACTAAAAGATCCTGGATACTATGAATATAACAAATAAAAATTAATATTTTCAATTAATAAATATTAAATAGATAATATATAATCGAATTATATATAATATAAAAATCAAATATATAGTTAAATGAAAATATTTAAGAAAAAGTCATCTTGAAAAAATATGTAAAACATTACTATTATAAATAATAATTGTTTTTCATAGAATGATTTATACATTAGACATCTCTGTATTTGTCTTCTTTTTTGTTTGTTTTTTTTTTTTTTTTATGAATTAGAAAAACAATGAAAATAAAGAACATTCGCATTTCAAAAGATAAACATAAATTCCAATAAAATAGTCAAATCGACAGAGAGAAAGTTTGAAGCTTCGTTAGTTAGATCCTTCATCTTAACTAAGAAGTTATTATCGAAAGAGAGAGAGAGAGAGAGTATGGAAGTATATATTATATAACAAAATATGCTAGATCATAAAATCTTGGTTTTTACTTGACTCATAAAAATCTATTTAAAAAAAAATGATCATAAAAGAAAATATTTCGCATTGACAGGCATTCGAGATTTACAATACAGGATAATACAAAATTCTCTAAATGATTCTAAAAATGAATAAATTATTTTTTTCCGAAATTTCTCTGATAAATTTTTGTAATACTAATATACAACTCTTTGTAGAATTATTTTAAATATCACTTAAGAACTTTCGACCTATCCTGTACTTGTATTAAAATCTATCATGTTAAATATACAACGTCATTAATAATCATTTTCTTACTTTTTCAACGTTCGAACCACAATCTTGTAAATGTCTAACTGCTTCTCTAATACAAGTTCGTATTTCTTGTTGAGTTTGAATGATCCCAAATTTATCTTCAATATTTTCCAAATAATAGACATTCAATTTCTTTAAATTAACTGGATCATCCAAATGTAAATCTTGATTGTGTTTAACAGTCAATACTTTCATAGTTAGATATAAATCTTCGACATATCTTGCAAGAGGTCCAACTGTACCACATCGTATAAATACTTCATCGTCCGGTAATGGTAAATGACCTTTTACCGAGACAATTCCTGGAAATTTAATTAACTAAGTTTTCAATGAAACTTTATAATGATGCTTAATGACAACGCCAACATTGATTTATCTATTAAGATGATCACCTTGAGAATAAAAAAAAAAAAATGTAATTACCTCTTGAAGGCTTATGTCCGAAAATGCCATTAAATAAGGCTGGTATTCTTATCGATCCTGCTAAATCTGATCCGATTCCTATCAAAGAACTTCCTGAACCTATTAGTGCCCCCTTTTAAACAAATTAAGCATATATCATCTTTCATTGTAATTATATAATTGTATGTAATCGTATTTAATTGTATACAGGATGTCCTGTAACTGCTTGTACAAACGAGCACAAGAGATAATCCTATATGAAAAATTATATCGAAAATGTACAATACAATTTGTTCATATAAGACATTGTTTTCGAAAAAAAAGTAAGTTTCAAAATTTATCGAGTACGTGTGTTCTTTACTGAACTTACATCATCATACTATAACAATGTTTATAAACATATTAATAAGCACACACAAAATATTCTTAGTTAGAAATATTGAACATTAAAATAATGAAATCTGTTGAACTGAAATTAAAGCGAGTGTTCAACAAATTTTTCAACGAATTTTATTTTCTAATAGAATCACCCCTTACTCGATTGTACCATCAGTTACAAGACACTCTGTATAAGTATGAAAAGTAAAAGAAACGGTACATGAAATGTATAAAAATTGATATATATATATTATATTAATAAACTATTCAAGAGTCGAAGTAAATGATATTAGTTAGTAATAAAATTCAAAAATACAATTATCTATAAATATTATTTATACCTCTCCTCCAGACGAACCACCAGCTCCACATTTTGTATTATATGGATTGTAAGTTTTTCCATATAGAAAATTGTATGAATCAAATCCTGTACATAATTCTGGAATATTGGTAACGCATAAAGGTATACCACCAGCATTTATCATTAATTCTATTGCTTCTCCATTATCAAGTGCTTTCCTTCCTTTTTGAGCATAAGAACCTCCTGTATAACTCAATCCTAATAAAAGAAATGTATTTTAATCTTAAATTAATTAATAAATAATAATCATTAATTAATCTTACAAATGCATAAAATCAGTCATAAAATGTAATTGCCATTAAATAGTATTTTAAAAGAAAAATACATTATTTATATTATTTATATTAAACATTTATGTGCAAATAATATTTATAATTTATTGTAATTATTTAAAATTTGTATTGTAAGAAAAAAAAAACATTAAAATAATAATTGCTCGAATTGGTGAATAATGTAAGTTTTCAAATAAGTTACAATTCAGCACTTACTTAGCATAATTATTTATATAATTATATTATCAAAATTAATAATATATAATTACTTACTTAGATAATTTTATGTATCATAAAATTATTCAATATTATTCGAATATAATTGCAGATTTGATGACAATTTAAGCATTTCAATTGAAATTTTTCGAATATCTAATGAAAAACTTTTAAAATCAGTACATATGAATGTTTGATGATGAATATCTTTTGAACGCTTAATTTAATCGCCAAAACATGAGACACCATTTTTATAGAGCAGTTAATTTCCTACAAAAATATGTATTGCGTATTTTTTAATAGTCATTTATTGTCGAGTTATAAAATTCATAAACAAAAATGAAATTTGTTTCTTAAAATGATCAAACTTAAATCTTCAATATCATTCTAATGGTGAGGTTTACGGAAAAAATGTAAGATACCTATTTTGTAGAGCATTAAATTTTCTACAAAATTATTCTATTAGATTGAGAATAGAATTATAAATAGTATTATTCTATTGGACTGAGAAAAAAATAAAAAACTGCGATGCGAAGGATCTTCCTATTAAAATTAAGAGCTCATATTTGGTGAGAATTTTTTTAAAGTATCTAGCAACCCATTTTTCCGTGTCACTTGTAAAAAAAAAAATAATTGATTTTTTTGACCCACCCTAATATATATATATATATATATAATTCTATACATGGTTAATGTGTTTAGATAAGATCCGTATTTTTCATACCTTTAAGCATACATGATTCTTTAACTGTAAAAGGTACACCATAAAGCGGTTTTTGTTTTTCCATCTCGAAGATGGTAAGTTCCCCATTTTTGATTTTGCGATCACACATCATTGCTTCTTCCAAGGCTTTTTCGAATCTATCCTCGATAACGGCGTTTATAATAGGATTCACTAGCTTTATGCGTTGAATATATGCTTTAACTACTTCTTGGCTTGTAATCTTAAAAAAAGAAAATCAAAGAAAAATGATTTATTTATGTAAAGTATTAGCATAAATGATTTATTTTTTTTCGAATATTTGAAATATAATAATTTGAAAAAAAAAAATACTTTCTTAAATTTTAATTAAGTTTTTAATATTCTTGTAAAACGAAATGTTTTCTTTTTTTTTTTAACTAAAAAGTATGATAGAAATATTATAAATTATTCTATATTTATTGTAATCAATTGAAGAAACAATATATATATAATATTTGGATAATACTTACTTCTCCGAATCTGATTTTTTTAGCCAGAACACTCGCTGACAAGTCAAACAAGTCATCATTGGTTGGAGGAATTTGTCGCGATTTGTTAAAATTACACATTTTGATAATAAAATTTAACATTTTAAATAGAAGATTTAAAAAAAATGATATAACGAATAGTATCCTCATCTTTGATTTGCTATAACAATAACAACAACAAAAATACGATAAAATTGTTGAAATATTAATTGAGAAGTAAATTTATGCTTATAATATAAAATATAGTCGTCAATATACAACCATCATACTAAATATATGTAGCGATATGAATATGAGTGTATGTGTGTAATGAAAGAATAGTACTTGAAATAATATTTGAAATACTTGAAAAGTATTTTCGTCTTTTTTTCTTAACAAAAATAAATGAAGTGCAAGGCCAGTAACGTAATAATTAATCAAACATTTATCGTTTATTAATGAAATAAAAGAAACAATGAAAAAAGAACATTGAAATGTTAATAAAATGAATGAAATGTTAACATTAGAAATAAAATCCATATAATAAATTTGTTATTTATTTGTATTTGAAAAATAAAACATTTTGTAGTTTTGTAAACCTGAAGGATCTCAACCTTGTTCCTTATTCTTTTTATTGTAGGAGATTATAGGACAGTACATGCCCATCGTGTTTATATGAGTTTTAAGAGTTTTAAGTGTTATTAAGATCTCTCTTAATATTGTCCTCACATGCTTTATATGCCATTTGATCCACCCCCCATGCGCGCCACCTAACCGGCCCATTTTAATCGGCGTGATTTTACGACGTTAATAATGTCCGGTTTGTTATACAATCGATGTACTTCTACGTTATGGAGTTTTCTCCATTCACCCGTTTTCTCATCGCGTTTTGCACCGAAGATTTTACGAACAACTTTGTTTTCGAAAACCCTCAATTTCTTTTCGTCCCGTAACGTAAGTGACCACGTTTCGTTACCATAAAAGACTACCGATAGGATGATTGTCATGTATATCCTAATTTTTAAGCGCCTAGACAGTAACCGCGAGAATTGAGTAATTTATTGACCGAATAAAAACATGCATTGCCTAAATTGATTCTTTTCTGAAGTTTTTCGTCTATTTCAGTGGATCCCAAAGTGAGAGATATCGCCCCCCTGTGGGCGATGAAGCGATTCAGAGGGATGATGATGACCACAGGCGCATTTGGGGGTAAGAAGGGAGGGCGATGAATTTTCTTTTTTGAGTTATTAATCCCTTGACCTACGCGATATCTGACAATTTCGCGTGCCATAAGAAACTTGCAAATCAGTCGCCCGCTGTGTCATTCAACTGTTCCGCTGCGTAACCGCTCGTTTAAAACACATATTCTTTAACACGAGTCAGACTCGTGTTAATAGGTCAAGAGGTTAAAAAATATTTTTTTTTTTTTGCAAAGAGAGCGATAGGAGAAAAAAGTTGAAGAATCACTGGTCTATTTCGTTCATCTGATTTATAATCGATGCTAAATATCAAAGTTCCAATATTATGCAGATTCTGAAATTAATCATTAATAATATAAGTAAATGTAAATTCTTGACGAACTTAAGAAAAGAAGATTTGGTTAACTTTCTTTTCGAATTTCTTTCAAAATTATATATATAAGGTTATACCACAATAATTAACATAATTAATTCCTAATTCTATGATAACTTTCCAATCTAGTTATAAATGTTGAATTAGATTTATTGAGATGTAAATAATGAATATAAATATGAATAATGAATCATTACAAATTATTGCAATACTCACAATAATATTCTCAACAAGTTGTGGCCACTAAACTGTTTAAACACAACACCATCAATGCATTATATCGAAAATGTAAAAATATCCAGTCAAACCCGTTTTTATGCCATCCCTTCCATTTATATTATAATTCTTTTCGAGCAAATCAAATAATATTACGTAACCGAACTTTTGCGTGATAGTTTTTGTATGAGCTCAGTACAAGATCATACGATGGCATAGTATTAAAATACTCTAATACACACTTAGCTACAATATATTCTAGAAAAATTAATGATGAGTCAAACTTCCAAAATACTCTTTCATCTTTCGATACGTATCAAAATATAAACTTGATTGTCGTTGATTCGCATATATTCATTAAAAATTCTCAATAGTCAATATACCGAACAGAAAAATACTACTAGGTAGATCAGGAGGAAAATAAATAGAGATAGATGGGAGGACAATATTAGGGGGGAAATTTTAAAGAAGTAGACTACGAAGATCGAAAATGGATGGAATCGCGCTCAGAGACGGGAACACTGGCGAAATTTGGTATTTTCGACAATGAACTTCCGAGTTTTTAATGTCAATAAATAATAATAGTAATAATAATAATCTAAATATATTATATATATATATATATATACACATTCACATTTATCTATTAAAAAACTCGCTATAAACTCATAGTTCAAACAGTTAGAATTACGTAAGAATTATCCAAATCAATGATGATGATAAAATGTCAAATAAATATTCATATTTAATATATTAAAAAATTAGTATATAACCAAATGAAAAAACGTCCAAATTATTATACATCTATATTATCTACAAATCTATATTACTAACATATTATATAAAAAAAAAAAATTTTAATTATACCAAATAGTAAAACTTCTTTCTTTGATATTTCATAAATAGTTATATATCTCTAATACGCCTGTGTAATGTTTTTACTAATAGATATAATGTTTTCTGCTTCCGAAATGGAAAAACAATTTCATCAAAATCACTAACACTATATCTTCATTATTTATTAGAATATTTATGCAACATTTATATTAATTAAAAAATCTGTCCTATATCAGTATCATTGTATAAATATCTTTGATTAATCAAACATATCAGAGATGAAATAATCTCATTTCTATTTTATAAATTTGCTAAAAGTCTTGGTGCTACTCTGCCCAATCGGTAAATTTTCCATAAAAAATTTCTGCATTATTTTTTCTATCGATTCAGAATTCTTGCTGCAAAATAAGTAGTATATCTGTATAATCTTCGCATTCCATAGTGTTTACGATTCGTTTTTAATGGCTTCTAAGTAAAGTTTTAAAGAAAACTAAATATTGACAAATTTTCTCAAGAAAAATTTCAAATAAAAGTATTTGTAAAGTTGTATTCGTTGCACGTATAAATAGTTGGGCGACCACCCATTATATAATAACAACGGTAAAATAAAAAGTACTTTTAAAAGACAATTTCTTATCGACTCACGTATTCTATTCTATACAAAGTAGCACAATAAAAGAATATTTACGCGAGAATTAATTTTGTTTGCCAACGTATTTTCTTGAAGCATTCCAATAAGTGACATTATGTATTTTATAGCTAATCCTTCGTTTTTTGTGTTCTTTCTTATCCTTTATTTTTTTTTTTTTGTTATTTTGCATATTTAAATAAAAATAAATAAATTATTCATAAAATACGTAATTATTACGAGATAAAAAAAAAAAAAAAAACTAGTTATATGCTTAGTCCGTAGTGTTGAGAAAATTGCGTTAATAATTGAATTTTTGTTTAATAATTTAATTTTTACAAAATTTGCTATTACTATTATTATTAGGTTTATTGAATTATGCCGATCAAAATAGCATTAATTTACGTTTTATGTAAATCTTCCTTATTTGTAACATAAGTATAACACAATTATCTCCTTTTAAATCGAACTAAAAGTAAAAGGAAAGAGAAAAGATTTTCTTCGTACTCGTAAAAGTGAAATCTTTCGAAAGAATTTTTTCGTCAGATGGATTAACTCACATAACAAACACACGTCAATGCATTAAAGTACACTCTCACAAACAAACAGATGAAAAAAAAAAATCGAATAATTTCATTTCCAACTTGACGTCGATGATATAAGAAGTATTCAAATAATTTGCAAGAAAAACAGTTTAATTGAACAAAAAATAACTGTTTACTGGTAATTAATATCAATAAAGAGGTATCAATAAATAAGATAATTAATATCAATAAAAACGAGAACAAGGATTCTTTCTTTTATACGATCTATTATTATACGATATTATTATCTACATTATAATGTTTAATTTGTCATTATAGAATTTCAAATATCTTTTTACATGAACGGCATATACTCAATGTAAGACGAGTTCAAATGCCAATTATATCAACTGTTTTAACAAAAAATTGTTTTATAAATTGTATATAACAAAGTAGTTTCAATGAATTTTAATCTATTGTAAAAAAAAGATAACAACTTTTTAAATGATATTTAGTCAACAATATTAATTAAATTTAATTCATTAACGGAATTATTTATTAAATTAATAATAAGATAATAAATAATTAAGATATTAATTTTTAACTTCTATAAAAAAAAAAAAATAGAAAATTTTCTAAAAAAGTTTCTCTATTTTTTTTTTATTAAAACCTTCTGAATTTTCTAAATAAATATTACTTTACAAAAAGAAAAAGACTTATGTACGTTAAATAACCATTGAAAGAAAAAGTATTAATAATAAAAATTAATAATAATTAAAAAATCTAACTCATATTTGGATACTTACCAAAATTGTGATATTTGTATGAAATCGTTGTTTCAATTTTTTTATTGTGCCACTTCGTATGCAAAATGTAAAAACACAAAATTTAAGATACAGTTAAAAGTAACAAAAAAAGAGATCGGTTTTGTTCTCAATTGATCTTAATGTGATTCCACGTCTTGCACGTCACACTTTACAATAGAGACAGAACACAATATGTAATTATACCCAAGACTATACCGCGACTGGCGATTTAGCTACCACCACTCCTAGTACGAAAATAATCATGAATAATTTGTTTCATATAATTTCTTGATTCCTATAATTGAAACAATTTTGTAAATATTTATTGTGTTCAATTTTCATGGATAAATTCAATAATATTTTGAATTGATTTATTCCGAAAAATATATATTGCAATGATTAGAATGACATGTCTATTTTTTAATCTCTACCAACGTTAACAGACTCATCCTGTATATTAAATTTGTTAAATACTACAATAATTATTAAATTAGATTTTTATATAATTAAATATAACATTTCTAATGACCACATTCAATGACTTAATATTTATAATAATTTCAGATAATAATCTTTGATATAAATCATATATTTTTAATTGAAAATATAATTAGTATAACGATATATCTATTAACACTTTGCCACATACTTTTAATTTGACGATCGTGCTCAGAAACACGAAAATCGGACGGCTATAGCCGTCATTTGCGGCAACATATTAATATAAATTTATATATTAGTCATTTCTAATTCAATAATAATATAGTTACTCGTACTAACATTAGAATTAACAACAAATACAAATACTATAGGACACTCTTCATTAAATTCTTAATATTATGCTTCATTTAATTCGTACATTGTATTTACAATTTTTTATAGTAATTAATAAATGAGTTTAATCATATATACAAAAAATAAAATTTAATCGATATATAAATATTAACAGCATGGTTGAGACTCTTAAAATATTTTAAGTATTCGTAAATATTTAAAGTAATCTTTCTATTATGATTTAACAAAATGAAATAAGATTGAGTAACGTCGCGTATTTATAAACAATTTTTTCATAATGTTGTTTTCATAACACTTTGCCAGCCGCTGTCACGTATACTTGACTTTTTTTTTGCCAACTGTTATCAACCATTGTCACGTACTATGCGTGTCTGCATGATTTATTTTTCTCCAGCGTGAATCTCGCCGACAGTAGTGCAATGGCGACTCAAGAAATATGCAGAAGGTAAAATGTTAAAACCATCTAAATTGTTCTCTCGATTGATATAACTATGCAAATCTCTAATCAATTCAAAAAAATGTTACATGCACTTTCAACAGAATATTTACACACGAGTTTTTATCAAAAAAATAATTTTTTTAAACATTAAAATTCTCAATTTTTCGTTATTTGAAATATTTCCATTTAACTGCTCAAGTTAATTCGTTCTCAATTGATAATCACCATTTTGTGTAATGTAACGCACCCATGGTAATGCTTGGTAACCGCTCTTCTCAATAATTTTCAAATATCGTACTTGAATCCCAGAAGTAGTGAAATAAGGAATTTCAAATTTCACTTGAATTGGCGGTTTACCTTCTACATCTTCTCCAACCACGGAAGGTAGACCGAAATGTGCTCTCATTAAATACTCTTTTCCTCCAGGAAAGGATTTGATGAACCAAGTAATAGCGCTTTGTTCAGGAGAGTATTTGACACTACCGATAGTTGTTTTAAATTTAGGAGAATCTGCATCATTTGGTACTGGTATTACAATCTCAACATTGTTAGCAGTTGATCGACGTTTAAATTGAGACCTAGCTTTTATCATGTACTCAACTCTACTATGTGCATGTCTTTCTATTACCGACTCAATCCATATCAATGGTTTGACATGAGTATTCAATCTGTAAGACATTAATTCAAACTCTCCATCCGGTGGTATGAATGAAATAGTTCTGTCGTTTTCAAATCTAGAAAGTCTAACGCATTGATGAAATTTAACATCTTCCAGTTCGACTGATTTGGACTTTCCACGTCCAGTTGATTCAAATAATACTTTATCATTGAGACCAAGTCTTAACTCTGGCATTCCAGATAAATAAACTCTCATTTTGATGGCACCAACGATTTCAGAACTCAATACGTTTCCATTAGCATTAGCGAGAAGATTAACAGATTCGATTACATCCAAAAATACTTCATTCTTGCGATATTTAATACCTTCTGATCTCCACGATACAGCATTGGTCACAGCCATCGGAATTCTAGGTTGTATTTCTAATTTATGTCCCTCTTGCGTGATATATTCTTGTAATATCTTGCTATCAGTGGTTTGAGGATAACCAAAATCCAATAACTCATCAAGTAATTCATAAATAACTACAAAATTATCCCTTATACTTTCTTCTTCCAATTCTTTAAAATATTCTTGCATTACTTGTACAACTTTATGCAAAAATACAAATACCAAAGAAATGTTAGCATTTTTCCTTGTTGTAGAAACGATGTAAAGATTATTATATTTAATATAAGCGTATGCACAATCTAATGTTTGAATAATTGGTGTAAGATTGCCTTCTTCTTCTCGCTCCATTACCAAAGACATAAATTTCTCTATTATTCCATTTTCAATATCTCCACGATAATTACGTGAAATCAAAACCTTGCCCTTCACATCCAATATGTATATCGCTGAGATAGACATCTTGAAACAACGTTTAACTAAAATCAAATACAAATAATATTAAAACAAATTCTATCAAGCACACATTCATGTGATAAGATATAGGTTATGTACAACATAAGAAAAAGTATATTCTTCAATTACAAGAAAAATATTATTAAATAGAAACAACATTACGCTTATTCTCAACAAATTTCAAATTATGAAATATTAACTGTAAATAATATAAAAAAAAAAAAAAAAAAAAAAACATAAATCTCCTTAACATTATGTTTGACAGTAAAAAATCTATACTTGATATTAATCAATTAAATTATGTATCATTGTTCACACTTACGCTGTAATTTTTGATAATTTAATTACTTCGTAATTCTTCGTAAGAAAAAATGATACATATAAGTATCCAGTTTTTAAAAGAATTTAAAGAAAGAAATTTTACATCATCCTCTTGTGTTATATACCTATGCACTGCGACACTTTAAACTGTCAGCGTAGAAGAAGTAATCGATATTGCACAAAATCGACATTGCAAAGTTACGATTTGTCGATAAATCGATGTTTTCTATATATAATATTTTTAAACATTGAAATAATTTCATAGATTCAAGTAAGGGAACACATCTTTATAAATTTTTTAAATTTATTTATTATTCCTCTCTTATAATAACAAAATCATAAAATATATCGACAATTTATTATTGTATTATTATTATTATTATTATTAATTTATTTTAATTTATTTAAATTAATTATAAAAATAAAGAATTATGTAATTAAAAACAAACAAAGTTAAAACCAAGTTGACAGAAAATATATAAGAACATACGTGCCATACGAATATGTAAACAAAAAAATCGGTGTCCTATTAACCTGATTGTTCTCTTGTAATTTTGAAAGTATGTACAGTAACATTATGGAAATATTATAGTTTATATAAATTTTATATTTATTTTTTATTCGTATAAAATCGAAGGCAACAAGCTGTAAATAAATAAATCTTACTATCTATGTATAAATATATATAACACACAATATAAATATAAAAATAAAAATGATTTTTAATATATTAGTATATATATTTATAATCTTATAAATTATAATTAATATTACATATAAATAGCTACTATGTAATAAAATAATATTTATTTAGAAATCTTTTTTGAAAGTATTAAAATATATAATTAACAAATTTTTACGCAATAGAAATCTTAAGTCTATGCACATTTTGATGTGCAAATTTATTAGTATAAAAGAAAATAAATGTCTGTAAATAAAGAGAAACAATTATTATAAAATAACATGACAATTATAATATTTAACAATATTTTCTAAAATCTATACTACAGCATCTTTGTTATTATTTGATATTATTTGTCAACGATATTTCAATCATCTTCTTGGTAATTTCGGAATTTGAATGAGTATAACCATTATCAAGCTCGGTACCATTATTTTTCTTTATATTACTTGGTGGTAATTGCCAACCACCGAATTTTTTTTCAATCTCTTTAGCCAATGTGATTGTTAAATTATCGCATTTATCATTAGCAACCAACTAATTTAAATCGAAAAAGTAAAAAAAAAAAAAAATCATTGTTATACATGTATTTATAAAAAAGAAAATATAACAAAATAATATTGAAATACCTGTAAACCTATAGGTAAACCCTTTTTATTTAAACCCACTGGACATTGTGTGACAGGAAAACCCAACTCATTAAAAATAGCCATATAACCAATATTCAAGACCTTGGCGTATATTTCTGAATGATAATGAGCACATGAATTAAAAGTTGGTAAAATCAAAACAGAATTCGAACCTAAAATTTCCTAAAATAAACAAAAATATCTAATTATAAATACACCTATGTAAAATGTTCTGTAACTGGTGGTACAAGCCAGCAGAAAATGATTCTACATGAAAAATTAAATAAAAAGTGTAGAATCATTCTCTACTCGTTTGAATCACCAATTACGAAATACCTTATATATATATATATATATATACATCGTATAATAATTAGTAAATATTAATATAATTAATATATTCTTTAATAGTTAACACTTACTTCCAATTCTTTCTTAAGTATATCACGCTTTTTCGTAACAGCTTTATGATACCACGATGGCACTAGTTGTAAGCTTTTCAAGAAAAATCCGTAGATTATGCATGGCCATGTATGTAAATTAAGTCTAAATAATCGTTTCAGCAGAACGATGAATACACTTTTCCATGGCTGCACATATACACATATGTAATATAAATATAAATATATATACTTTATTTTTTTTTATCATAAAAAAATCATTACAAATATATGCATTAATTATGTACACATTTATTTATGCTAACCTTTGAACCATCTCCTATATTAAAAATGGTTTCCACATCAGCTACTTTAAAAACCATAGCGGCTACTATTTCAATCACATACTTCATATTTTGTAATTTCAACTATAATAAAAATGTTAATTTTTAATTCAATTGATATTTATATTAATATTTAGATAATATTTACAACATTTACGCTTGTTAACGATACACTTTCAATATTAAACGTTATCACAAAAAATGGACAACTATTTTATTTGATTGCAATAATTTTGAATTATTCCGTACGAAAATGTTGTAATATTCTTAAAAATACAACATAATAATAATAATAATAATAATAATAATAATAATAATAACTAACTTGTTTAATTGGACAGCCGAAAGTCGAATTTAAATGTTCTGCAACATTTCTAATAGCAACTTTAATTTCTTCATCAATTGGTAAACACAATATCGATGAGTATTCATCAGTGATATAATAAACATTCATTTTGTTTATATCTACCTGTAAAAATAACATAAAAACTGTGTTTCGATATAAAATTCAAACAGCGACCGTGTTACTTGCTTGGGACTCAAACGATTAATTGTTGATAAATAAGTTTATATTAAATGCATTGAAATTGTACTCTCTCTTTATAAATGTTTTTCATTGATAGTTTCTTTATTAGTATTTTTTTCTTTATAAATAATAATATCAGAAAAATGTAACTATCTTATTGATACTGTTAGCTATACGTAACGGTACCTATACCGTTCTTCAATCACATGAAGTATTTTCAAACGTTCGAAAAAAGAAAGGTACCAAAAATCGTTAAGTGAAAGTTCGTATTTATCAACATCATCACGATCATGACATCAACTTGAAACGAAATTACATTCTGAAGAATTACACTTATTCCCATGATCACCTACTTTTCAATCGCTATTGAATTTTATACTGAATGAAAATATACTTATATTGAAAATTATGCTTAAATATAAATATAATAAATGCATACCTTGGTGTTAAGATATTCTTTGCATTCCTCATTTGTTGCAATACTTTTCAGTATTAGAGGAATATCAACAGCGTATCTCGTCATTACGGAAATCGTAAAAATAGATTCCCATTTTTTGCTTCGTGCAACTGGTTTATGACCCACCGATGAAACCCAATCTAATAAATTTTATTATTAAAAACTGAATATATTGTGAAACAATATGAATTATATCATTTAAGAGATAATAAAAAAATATATATATATATATATATAAATATTGTTATCACCCTTTGCTTATTTGTAGTACCAATTACAGGACACTCTGTATATAATATATTATTAATAATATACAAAATGTAGCTCTCTTATGCTTTATTTAAAAAAGAAAGAAACTTTTAAATATCTATCAAATTACAATGATAATTTGAACGTTTTACGAAAACGTTCAAAAAATAAAATTCAATGATGAAATGTATTAAACAGAATATTTACATTTCTCGCTAACATTCTTTTAATAACATACTAAAATTATTCAAATCAACTTTGATTTTAATAACTTCGAATTGTGCAATGCTTATGTATAACATATTTATTTTATATTTAAATAATAAAATGAGAAAATAATTACTCTTTGACAGTATCTGTGTGTGTATGTATTTGAATTAAAACAAAGAATTATATATATATATATATATATATATATATATATTATTATTTTTAAATAAATAAATACACATATATCTTTTATATTCTCTTATATGAATGATGAAGAAAATAAAAATACGAGCTTTTTCTTACTACATGATGGTTTGTGACCAAAAATACCGCAAAACATAGCAGGCAATCTTGCTGATCCCCCCACATCAGATGCAACACCAATCACAGAAGCAGCACTACTTATAAGTGCACTCTAAACAAAAAAAAGTATAAATCAAATTTATTTCAACGTAAAAATTTGTTTTTTGCTATTTTTTATTCTAAGTTCATTACGTTATAGAAGACAAATTAACATAAACACAAATTACATTATATATTATAAATACAAATATCACTATACGTAAATAGGTTGAAAGGTTTTGAGTTTCTACAAAAAAAAAAGTGAAATAATAATAATAATAAAGTACAATAAATAGGAATACAAACCTCGCCACCTGACGAACCACCTGGTGTTCTTTCTGTATCATAAGGATTCAATGTTCTACCAGTGATATTGTTCATAGTTTCAAAGGACATACAGTATTCCGGTACATTGCTCGTTAACAAAATAATGGCACCGTCTCGACGAAGATTTGCTACTGCGGGTGCATCGTTTGTGGCCTTGACGTGTTTTTGACTTACCTCTCCAACAGCGAAACAAAAATCTAGAATTTAAATAATCAAATATTTATTATGTATTTACATAAAATTTAATAAACATACCATAAACCTTGGACAAATCTCTTTTTGTTTATTTTCTTATTGTCTTATAATTAAAGAGGAGTATTCGTTGATTGAAACAAAATATAATAAAGTAATGTGATGCGAAAAAAGAATGGAAAAAATACAACTGAAAATTGCATAAAAAGACAATTTTCAACCGGAAATTAATTTGAGGTTTGTGTGATTTTGTTTAGCATGCTGTATAATTGTGTATTTTTTTTTTTTTTTTTTTTTTTTACTTTTAGAAATAATAACGCATCCACATTGAATATTTCTATGATTTACAATCGTATTAAAAAACTTCAAATAAAAAGGTTGCATTATTGAAATTATTATGTTATATGAGATTTCAATGCTACCGATGTTTTATTAAATGAAAGTATATATATATATATTTTTTTTTACCATATGTTTGCAGAACTTGAAAAAAACAACATCAATATTATCTTCATGATCATTATTTCATCATCATCATCATCATTAGTATTTATTCTCAAAATATTCACATGTAAAAATTATTTTCTTTATCTTGAGATATTTCTATTACTTATAATTATATGAAAAAAAATAAATTAACTCAAATAATTAATGTCCATAATTCAATTCTTATCTCATTATATTATTTGAATACAGATTTTCCATTAGGCATGGTATTCAATTGACTTTTAACTACTCGACTCTTGTGAAATCATATTATCATTTTTTCAAACATTCTATTTTGATATATAATCAAATTTGCGTAACTCCTCGTCAAAAAGATATTCGATGTACCCTAATTATTATTTTTTAATATTACATCAGAAACGTTCCTACATTATAAAGACATTATGTTTTCAAAATATACGATTCGTTAGAAATAATATCTTAATGAGATTTTTATACAATCAAGAAATATTATTCCGTACTAATCACATTCCAAATATTAGCACATTCTATTAGCACTAGAACTACCGAGAGAGAGAAAAAAAAATGAAGATAATAGATTGTTTTTATATTTACATTTCGTCCCGAAAATGTCTTCCTTTTTCTTGGTGATAAGTTGCACAATATTGTATGCGTAATATTTTTCCTATTATTTTACTAAATAATATCGATTCTACATTATATTAACTTTTTCTTTACTGTATATTGTGCGAGTAAAATTATTTAAAAAAGAAAAAAGAGGAAGAAACTTTTGTAGATCTAATCTTATCTTACAAAAAGAATTTTATGTTATGTAATTATAACTATTATATAATAATATAACTTTATTAATTATAATAATAATAATAATAACTACTACAAGAATACCAATAAGTATAAAAAGAATATTTGGTAAAAAAAAAATATTAAAATAAACTTTCATTAAAATAAATATAAGAAATATAAAATAATAATATGATGATAATAATAAATGTAATAGAAATATAAAAATGAAGTAATTATTAATATAAAAGCCTGTGATTAGATTGGAAAAGAAGTATTATGGTCCTCATTTTCTGCTCTATAAATATGAAAAATTTCAAATTTATTTTTCATGCATAGAAAAACATTCCAATGAAATCTTCCAATTTGGCTTTGTTAAGGATACATTTTTTAATTAAAATTCGAGAAGCTTTTGATTCCGTACAAAATGTTAAATATTTAGAAATGACCATGCACATAAATGATTAAAAATGAGTATATATTATATTTTCTCAAAAATCCCTAATTATTTCAGTTAAAGTATCAAATTTTTACGATTTAACTCACGTTTATGATTTAACATTGAAGTAAGAAAAATAATGCATTTGTAATTTAGATTCAAAGAAGAACAAAATTATTTTTACCTTTAACAGCAATACTCGCTTTAACTGTTACGGGAACTCCAAGTAATGGCATATCCTGTTCAAGATTCATCTCACTAATAGTAGTATTTTTTAAAAATTGATCTACAATGCGAGCTTGTGTTATTGCTTTTTCAAAATTATTTTCTACAATGGCATTCAATATAGGATTGACTTCCTTACAACGAGCAATAAATGCCAATACAACTTCCTCGCTACTGATCTTCAATTTGAATGTTCAATCATTAGATTTATTTCAAGGACAACATTTTCTTATTTTATTTTTTCTTCAATGATTAATTGTATTATTATTATATAATATATTACAAAACAAATTGAAATAATAATTTACCTGTTTGGTACGAATTTTGTCAGCAATTTGAGTAGCTGACCAAAATAATATATCATTTGTTACAGGAGGACAATATTGACGTTTTTTTAATCGCATTTTAATAACTGGATATGTTACTAAATAAGCAAATAATACTATAGATCTTAGAAAACATTGTACTAATGGATGGATAATTGTCTGAAAAACAAAAAATAATAGAAATTAATAGAATTTCGTTCGTTCCATTTGTAAATATCATTGAAAATTTCGTTGTTTTTTTTTTTTCATTTAAGATATGTTAAATTATTATTTAAATTACTTAATAAAAAAAAAAACAAAGAAACAAACAACCATGAATTAGCTAATTTGTTTTTATTTTTTGTATAAACACGATTACGGACATTTATATAGAGTATCACAACAAAATGTTACCACATTTTAATTGTTTTAAATCTTTATTAATATTTTTTCAATATTTCAATGTTTTTACATTTTTTGGGGGCATCATACAATCGGTTGTCATGACGATTCATATAAAACCGTCAAACAGACGGTTCATCAAATCAACAAAGTATTTTTCTTTTTGCACGAGCTTTCAATCAAAAACTAGCATGAAATGTTTTATACAAATTTAAAGCCAAATAAATTATTTATTGGGATGTATATAACACTGTACAAGTTATTTCGATTTAAAAAATGGAGAAAAAAAAAATTAGTATAACAATAAATTAAAACTAGTGTTTAAGTTTGCAAGGAGTGTGGTAACATTTTTTTGAGACACCTTGTATTTAAGAAATCCTAAATGTATTCGAGACAAATTTAATAAATGGAGTTCAAATACCGGTTTGAGGAATGTATAAACATAATAATCAAGTTTTACTTCCTTTTTGGAGATCTTTACAAAATAGATGTTTTTTTTTTTTTAATAATAAGTATAATTATTTATTAAATAT